TGGTCCCCAGGAGCACTGCTTCTGGGCCTGGCCCCGCCCTCACCTCCCTCTGCTTCCTTGGGCCTGCACCACCCGCCAGCCTCTTACTGGGACACAAGGGCTGACCCTTCCTCTTTCTGATCCTTTGCATCCAGACCAACCCAGCTCTTCAGTGCAGTCCCCAGGAGTCTTTGGGGCCGCTTCCCACCCCCATCTTCCTTTGTATCTCTGGGTGGGACAGCCACCAACTGCCCTAGCCCAACATCTTTCCTGGGCCTGGCTCCCAGGCCAGTCCAACCCTAAAATTCCTGAGGCTAAAATCTGTCCTGGAAGGATCCAGGCTTTAGGAGAAAGCCTGAGATTATCTGATCCTCATCTGACTCTGTGGGAGAAAGGTCAGCCTTGGCATCCAGGAAAGAGGCTGGCCAGTTGTGCAGGCCCAGGGAAGTAGAGGGAGGTGGGGGTGGGGCCAGGCCCAGAGTGCTCCTGGGGACCTGAGAAAGAACTGAGTTGTTCTGGATGCAAAGGATCAGGAAGCAGTGGTGGTTCCCCAGGTGTCTCGGGTGCCAAGACAAGGAATGGGACAGGACCCAGGCTAGGAGGAGAGACTGGCGGGGAAGATGGGAGGGTGAATGAGGCTGGGGGAGTCAAGGCACAGAGGGCTCAATCGACTTACCCTGGAGAGAGAGGCCTGTGGGTCGTGCGGGCCCAGGAAAGCAGAGCTGAACTTTATTCTTTTTTTAGAAAAAATTTATTGAGCTTTTGTACATTTCATACAAGAGTCCCCGATCAAATTTAGACCCATTCTCCATTTGTGCCTCCCCATCCTGACCTCATGTATTCCACCACACATGCCAAGTCCTATCCAGTCAAGCATCTGTACCCAAGTGTCTTTTATCCACTGCAGTCTAGGCAGGCCACCTACAGATCCTAAGTGAGGTCTACTCTCCCTCACACAGTAGTAGTCAGTCTCCAATAGTTCCCATTCTAGGAGCGGCCCACCACCCATTTCTCTCACTCCACTCTGGGCCCTTGTCTGAGTGAGTTGGCATGGGTCCTGGGCACGATGCCACCATTGCCACGAGTTCACATGAATAAGCTTCCAGTGACCTGAAAGCCTCTGCTTCTCGATGTTCACGAACCAACCCTGGCTCTTACGGTTTTTCTGCCCCCTCTTCTGCAATGGTCCCTGCGCTGTGGGTGGGTGAGGTTCAATGTAGAAGTCTTATCCAGGGACACACACTCTGCAGTCTCCTATACCTTAAAACTTGGCCAGTTGTGGCCTTCTGTGTGCACCGCACTCTGTTGTATAAGGCAGCTTCAGTGGTGAGAGTTGAGGGATGTGCTGGTTTCCTCTCTACCCCTCATTCTGCTGTGTTCCATGAACCTTAGATGTAGAGGATCAACTGTAGTAGATGTGTAACCTAGAACTGGGCCTCTCTCAGATGTACATTCTCTGTGTCTGACCAGTTGTGGGATTCTGCAAGAACCTCCATCTGTTTCAAAAGAAGCTTCTTCGATGAGTGGTATATGGTATGCTTGTCTGTAAATTTAAAGAACCATACAGTAAGAAATTAGAATTTAGCATACAGTAAGAAATTTCATTTGTCCAGAGCTATGACAGAGATAGGGTTTTTCCTAGGACCTATGACCGCTCTCCAGTCCTGTGTATTTGGCTGTGTTTACAGTGCTACCTATGAGTTCACTCCCATTGACAGGGCTTTAAGTCCAATTAGATAGGTATTGATGCCCCCCCCCCAAGATAACAATGCTACTACTTCACCAATAGATATAGTTTGCTGTCCCAGTCATTATGGCTGTTGGGCTTTAGGGATGGGTTGGACCACTGATTGATTTTCTCCCTTCACAGTCTGCATATTATCATCAACATTACGAGGGCTAAACTTCAAGCAGAAGGCTTCCAGGCCAGTTCCTGCTCCATTGTGCCATGTCCTGTATCCAAAGTACATCCTGTCTTCAGCAGTAGGGTCTTATCTTTTAGTTTGGGGAGATAACCAAGAGCTCTGGCAATAGCCTTTGTTATTTTGGGAGTCTCTTGGACCACTCTCCCCAACCACTCAAAGGGACATCTCTCCTATCTGGCACTGTGTTCCCTGCCATACAGCCCCCAGGGATACATATGCACTAATGTTCAGACACTGTATGTGTGTTCCTTGAGGGGTTTTGGGGCATTACATTTCCCTCTGGGTTCCCTAACCCCCAAAGAGCCATTCATCTCTGCTCTTCCTTCCTCCCATCTGACTTCCCTCCCCAGTCCCAGTATCCCCATTATCCCGAAACTCCACACAATAACACCTACCTCTCACCGTCCCCCATCTCCTGAGTTCCCTTCCTCCCCCACCTCCCCCCTGTATGTCCCTCCCTTCTCTCCTCCCATTTGCTCATCTCTAAATGGAACATAAATTCTTAGTGTGTGTGTGTGGGGGGGGTATATGAACATGTGTGTTAAGTACACATCTGTGTGCACACACTCAGTCCAGAGTAGGATGTCTGGTGTCCTGCTCTCACTCTCTCCCTTGTTCTCTTGAGACAGAGTCTCTCATTGAACTTGGAGCTAGGCTGGAGGTCCACAAGTCAGTGATCTCCCTGTCTCCATCATCCCCCCGGCATACATAGCCATGCCTGGTATTTTTCCATGGGTGATAATAATTCCAACTCAGGTCCTCAGGCGTAGGCAACAAGTACTCTTACTCTTACCCATTGAACCATTTCCCCAGCCCCACATGTTTTAATTTGTAAAGACAACATAGAAAATCAGGGGGAAAGGTAAGAAAGAGGAAGATATTTGAGTAACTGATGGAAGCCTCGCCATTTCTATGAGCACCTGAGAATATGAACAGGGAAGTGGGGGGTGGGGAGCCTGTGAACTGTGCCGTCACCCTTCACAGTTGCAGCCCCAAAATTCTATTTTGAGGAACATTTTAAGATTTTTACTTTTTTTTGTTTTTTTTTTTTTGAGGCAGGGTCTCCCTGTAACCCCAGCTGTCCTGGAACTCACTATGTAAACCAGGCTGGCCTTGAACTCACAGAGATCTGCCTGCCTGTGCCTCCTGAGTGCTGGGATTAAAGGCATGCGCCACCACGCCCGGCCATGATTTTTACTTTTTTAGGTACAGGGTTCAACTATAATTCTGGGAGTGGGAGACTCTGTATCAGGGAGAGTCAAGTGCTTAGAAAGTAGAGATTTTTGCTTTACAGTATTGTATTCCTTACTCATTGTTTGAGCACAAGGCACCCAGTTGTCTCTGGTCCGGGCTGGATTGAAGTCTTGACTCTGCCAGGAAGTGGTTGTCTATCCTTCTGCAAGCTGCTTTTAGTCTTGAATCTTACCTGGAAAGGTGATAAGGATTTCACAGGAATAGGCAAGAATTAACTCGCAGAAGCAAGAGTGGCTCTCATTGATGTCTTCTGGTTAAATGCTCACCAAATGTTTATTGTGTTGCTGTGTGGATTTTGACAGCATAGGACAGAGCATCTCTACATCCAGCCAGGGGGAGGGCTGAGAGGTCACAACAGAGATGATGAAAGGCTGAGAGACCTGAAGATCCTCCTTTCCTGATCTATCAGATAAGCCACCCACTAAAGACAGGTGTGCCAGGGCTTGGAGGGGCTGAGTCACAAAAGCAAATGGCTGGGTTCTTTTTGCAGTCTTTGTACATTCATACACAAAGGATTTTAGGTGCTGTGTTTTTTTTTTCTAGTTTTGTGAAGAACATCATTGGAATTTTGATGGAGACCATATTCTACCTGTAAGTTATTTTGATAACGTTGTTGTCTCCAAATCGCTAGAATGTTGCTTTCTCCAGCCAGGAACATGGACGTTCTTTCCATCGTGTAGGGTCTCGAGTTTCCTTTTTCAGGGCCTTCAGTTTTCCATGCAGAGAGGGTTTTCACCTGCTTGATTAGGAACCCGTGAGACAGGGAAGAGAGAGGCTTTGAAGCAGGGAGAGGGAGTAAAAGAATACATGGATACGAAAGTCAAAACACGGGGGAGGAAGCATGCAGCAGGGATAGTGGCCAGAGAGATGGGGGAGTGGGGCAGGGGGTTGGCCATAGCTAAGTATGTAAAAAGCGCATAGAAAACTTGTTACTTTGTATGTTAATTTCTAAACGCTGAGGACTTCTGCCTGAATTGGGGTGAAAGGCAGCACTGAGGCCTTCTCCACTGAATCCCTTGTTTGTGATGCTACCGAGGGACACCCTGTTCCAGATGCACACAGCTGCAAGCTGCTGGGGCCAAGAGCCCAGTGTTCTGTGGGAGACACATTGTGTTCTCGCCCTCCCCGACTGGGACTGACTGAGCCCAGCACAGGCCAACACTGTGCTGATGTGGGACAGCAGCCACAGTACAGAGGGGACAGGCACGTGATATCTTCAGACGGTCCTTTCAAACTGTCCGGCCTTCTGCGGGGTGTTTTACCCTTTCAATCTTAGGAGCATCCCAGTCCCTCCCTGAGGGTCCTGGCAGGCCCTCCTGCATCACGTGGAGCTGGCTGTGGTTCAAGAACATCCTGGTTCAGAAGCACATTGATTATGTGAAATCTGGGGACATATCCGCCATCACAAAGCGGATGAGAAAGTATGGACAGACATGCAGCACATTGCTTCCTCACTGCCCGTCTTTATGGTTAAGAAAGCACAAAGGTTAGACTGGTGAGATGGCTCAACAGGTAAAGTTGCTTGCTGACAAGTCTGATGATCCAAGTTCGGTCCCCGGGACCCACATGGTAGGAGAGAAGCACTCCAGAAGTTGTCTTCTAGCCTGCACATATATAACATGATACATGTGAGCATGCATACACATGTACATACAATAAATAAACACAATTTTTAAGTATTTTATTTATTTTTATTTTATGTATATGTGTGTATTGCCTGCATGTGTACAAATGCACCCATGTCTTGCAATGCCCAGAGGTCAGAAGAAGGCATCAGATACCCTAGAACTGGAGTTACAGACAATTGTTAGCTGCCATGTGGGTGCTGGAAATCAAAGCCGGGTCCTCTCCAAGAGCAGTCAGTGCTCTTAACTTCTGAGCCATCTCTCCAGGTACCTAAAATATTCTTAAAGCATAGCGTCCTAGATGTGGATGGACAGCTGCTCCTGGGTTAGAGAAAGGCTCTAGAGAAAGTAGCTTGCTGGCCTGAGTGGAATCAGTTCACTCCACTTCGCCACAGTGACTCTGGGTGACCTTGGACCTTGGAGTGGGCCTGGGGAATTCAGAGCTGTTGGGATCTATCCCCGTCCCCTGAATGCATGAACATATTGTCATTGGAGGTTTTACAGAGGCACGAAGTCAGGCAGCTTGTCTTTGAAGATGGTTGTTAAGGCCGACTCTTCCATACATCCTCTTTGCCCTGGGCTAGCTGTCCTCACTGTTTCTGATTTCCATGCTGCTGAAGTCAGTGATTCTTCTGTCTTGGCAGAAGTTTCAGGGTGCCTCTGCTTTTGACTCCCTATTGATGTTTCAGTCTGCACACATGCTCTGCTGTCTCAAGATGTCCCGGGTACTCTGCTAGATACAACATGGCCTGAACAAAATAGACCAAGGTCTGTTTCTCATGGAACAGAAGCTTCTGCGGAGAAGGCTGACGGCTAAAGGGGAAAGTAAAGCAAGCTGAACATCAGATGGAGTGAGTGCTCCGTCAGCACAGGAGGGAAGTTGGTTTGGGCATTTGAGCAGAAATTGGACAAGGAGAAGGAGCCACCCACAGGGTATTCGAGGCAAATGGAAAGGTCCTGAGGCCAAAACATTTATAGATCACTTGAGCAGCATGACTCAGAGTTAGCAAGTGAGGGACGTATAGGATTAAGACCAGTTTTCTAGCTGTGTGGAGATGCCAGAATCCATCTAGAAGCATGCTCAACCCTGGGCATAACTCCAGTCTTTTTTAAAAAAAAATATTTTATTAATTATTTTTATTTTATGTGTATGAGTGTTATGCCTGCATGTAGGTAAGTGCACCCGTGTCATGCAATGTCCGTGGAGGACAGAAGAGGCTGTCAGATCCCCTGGAACTGGAGTTAACGGACAGTTGTTAGCTGCCATGTGGGTGCTGGGATTTGAACCCGAGTCTTCCTCAAGAACAACCAGTGTTCTTAATGGCTGAGCCATCTCTCCAGCTCCAGTCTTTTTGAATAGTGGTACCGAGTTGAGAACACAGCCTGCAATCACGCACTGAGCTTCTCAGTCAGGCACATTCCCATGGTGAATTTTGCCACACACTGCTGATGTGCTATATACGTAGTGACTAACTTAACCCTCAGCTCACATTGCTAAGATGGGTACTGTCACTGTTGCATTTTACAGATGAGGCTTGTGCTGGATAGCTTTAGTGTCAACTTGACACACCAGGGTTGAGGGAGCCCAAATTGGGCAATTGCCTCTATTGGACTGGCCTGTGGCCATGTCTGAAGGGCATCTTCTTGATGAGTGATGTGGGAGGGCCCAGCCCACTGTGGGTCGTGCCACCCCTGGGCAGGTGGGTCTGTGTTGGATAAGAAAGCAGGCTGAACAGGGACCAGGGGAGCAAGCCAGTAAGCAGCATTCCTCCATGGGTTGTGCTCCGGCTCCTGCCTCCAGGTTCCTGCCCTGAGTTCCTACCTTGGGCTCCCTGATGAACTGCTACCTGGGAGATGTAAGACAAATAAACCCTTTCCTCCCCAAGTTGGTATTGGTCTGAGTATTTTGTCACAGCAATGAAGAACAAATAGGACAAGCCTCAAAGAGGTTAAGCCATAGTCACAGACCATGTAGCTGACCCAGTGAGTGGTTAGAATTTGGATCAGGCCAAATGGTCCTCAGAATGTGTACTCCTACCACAAAGACAAACATCATCTCTGGCTGGTATGCATGTGATGAGACCAAGTGACCCTTACCTGTAAACACACAGCTAGTGGTTACACATCTTATAGTCCCTGGGCTTAAAGCATTTCCTGGAAAGAAACAGAAGCTTTTTCTAGACCTTATGAAATCATTTAGGGGATCATCTTGAAAAATTAGTTGAGAAGGTTGGGTCGGGGCTGAGTTCCCTGGTTCAAATCCTGGATCTGCCACTTGCTGTTGAGCGACCTGAATTTGGACTGGTGATGCTGCCCCGCTGTGACTCAGTTTCCCCAGGTATGAGGCCAGCACATGATGATGTGTTAAGGGCAAGATACTATGATTCAAGGTCTTGGCAGGTGGCCATCGGCTGATAACTGACGCTATCATGGAAAATTTCCATCTCCCTGGTCAGTGCTCCTCCTGCTAAGTTAAGACAGGGGATGGATGGTACCACAGTGGATCAGACTTGTCATCAGAGTCTGTTTTCTTAGTCATTGGCTGGCTGTGTGACACCCTGCTTTGAGCTGCTTTGCTGGTAAAGTACCTCACCCATCCAGAAAGACAAGAGAGGGTGAAATAGTCACAGTAAAATACTTTGGGGCTGGAGAGATGGCTCAGTAGTTAAGATCACTGACTGTTCTTGCAGAATACCCGGGTTCGAATCCCAGCACCCACATGGCAGCTAACAACTGTCCATAACTCCAGTTCCAGGGGATCCGTCAGATTCTTCTGTCCTCTGCAGGCATCGCATGACACGGGTGCACTTACCAACATGCAGGCAATACACGCATACACATAAAATAAAAATAATAAAATATTTTTTTAAAAAAGAAGCACTTTGATGTTTTGGGCTAGAAGGTACCATGTGCCTGAAGGCATACCTTATTTCTTCAAACATTCTCCTAGGCTCCTCTTCAAAGGCTACTCTCTCTCCTTAAGAGTTTCCTATGACACTCTAACCAGTGGCTTAAATAAATCATTCTAGAAGTGCTGTTTTATGCCACTGTGCAGTCACACTGTCTCCTCCTTGCTTAAGAAGCTCTGGAACCCTAGGGGCTAGAGAGATGACTCAGCAGTTAAAAGCACTGGCTGCTCTTGCAGAGGACCCAGGTTTGATTCCCAGTACCCACCTGGTGTCTAACAATGGTCTATAACCATGGTTACTTAGATGCATGCAGACAGTACCTCATACACATGCTTGGGAGGCAGAGGCAGGCAGATCTCTGAGTTCAAGGCCAACCTGGTCTACATAGTGAGTTCCAGGACAGCTGGGGCTACAGGGAGACCCTATCTCAAAAAGACCAATAATAGTAATAGTAATAATAATAATAATAATAATAATAATAATAATAATAATAATAATAAACATTGCAGGTAAGCATACCATACACCACCCATCAAAGAAGCTTCTTTGCAACAGAGATGACGGCTACTGCAGAATTCCACAACTGGTCAGGCACAGAGAATATACATCTGAGAGATGCCCAGTCCTAGGTGACATGTACATCTACCTCTATACCTAAGGCTCATGGAACACAGCAAAATGCAGGGTAGTAGAGAGAAAACTAATACACCTGTCAACTCTCACCAGTGAAGCTTCCTTATATAACTGAGTGAGATGCACACCTGGCCAAGTTTTAAAGAATAGGAGACTGCAAAGTGTGTGTCCCTGAATAGGACTCACCTACCTCACCTACCCATGGCTCAGGGATGATTGTGGAAGAGGGGGCAGAAAGATTGTAAGAGGAGTCAGGGCTGGTTCATGAACACAGGGAAACAGAGGCTATCAGGCCACTGGAAGCTTGTACATGTGAACTTGTGGCAGTGGTGGCATCGAGCACAGGACCTCTGTCGACTCAATCAGACAAAGGCCCAGGGTGGAGAGAAATAGGTGGTGGGCCAGCCATAGACTGAAAACTATT